TTGAAGTTTTAGAATAGCCACACGTACATGAAGAGGAAGCAGACAGCAGCGAAGAAGCCGAGCCAGACCTTCCAGCCCACGCCGGTGCGCTGAGCCATGACCAGCATGCGGTTCATGGTGCCGCGAAGGCGCAGCCGGGTCGAGTCGAAGGTGTCGTTCATCTTCTCGGCGAGGGCGGAGGATTCGCGGATCTCGTCACCAATGGCTACCGTCATCTAAAGGGTCTCGTCAGCGGCTGGTCTCGCATCTGCCGGTTCACCGTCTTGCTGCTTGTAATTCACCACACGCCGGCCGGAGGCTGTCGCCAGGATGTCACGTACACTCTTCAGCATCTTGACCTTGCCCATAATGCCCTCCACCTGCTCGTCGTTCTGGCTCTCGAGCTCGTTGAGGACTGCATCGCTGTATTGACCCCTAATGAACATCCATCAGCAAATCGTTCCTGCATCCGGAGCGTCCGCCGTCATGCAATCGGCGATGGAGCGAGCGTACCTCGAGTTGGGCGTCGCCGGGCGGAACCCCCGGGCGCCGTTGTCGACGCCGAGGTGGCTCCCCGTGGGCGCGGGGGAGGCACTACCGCCGGCGTAGCCATAGCCATATCCGCCAAGACGCGATGGCGAGGCGCTGACTGGCCTCCTTGCGTTGTCGCCGGTGTAGCCCTCGAACAAGGCGCTGCGGGAGTCGCGCTGGTGGAGCGAGGACGCGCCGAATCTGTCACTCACGCATGAACATTAGCAGATGCTCAATCGACGTTCTTTCGTGTTGTAGGTGATCCATGGCGGTCTTCGCAGTCGCATCGTGGCATGCTCGTCTGGCGATCTGAAGGACGTTGGTGGGGGGAGGCGCCATTGTCTCATCCGCAACGCTTCGGCTGACGGACTCGAACCATGACGGCCGCCAGAACGATTCCGAAGCAGAAGAGATGACCTCGAGATGTATGCGCAAGCTCGTGATGCCAGGGTACGAAGCAAGGGGCGCAGATGTATCAGCCGTTAGGTACTAACCTTGAAGCCATGGTGTCCGAACCGTCGCCTTGTCGCGGCGTGTCCAGAGGACCCCCTAAGCTACTGGAGACCTATGTATCGCGCGCGCAACACGGAAATCCGGGCGCCGTCGTTCGGATCGCGGGTTGTCTCTATGCGGAATGCCAAAAGGGGTGTCTTGTGTCAAAGAAGGGAAAAAATTCAAGAAGTCCTTGCCCCGTCTTCCAGCCGTCGAAGAAAAAAAAGGCTGGTCGTTGCTAGGTCGAATGGCCCGGTCGGCCTGGGTCGTCGCTTCGGTGCGTGCCGGGGTATGTTTATGACGGCTGGGCGATCTTTAATTTTATTTGGCAAGACTTCCGTAGCGGCAGTCCTGTCCACTGACGTCTTTGGCTTTTCTCTTGGGCCGTCAACACCCCTGTTGAGAAAGGCAAGCTAATGTGTGGGAAAGGGGAAATATGACGAGAGATGGCCCGGGTCGTGGAGTCGAGATCGACGAGGGAGATGAGTAGCTCAAGTATGTTCAGTTGTAAGATACCATCGTGGGAACGGAGAAATAAGCAGGCGTGTAAGGTGGTCAATTTGGATGCGACCTATTTGTCCTGCTGCGAGAGGTCCTGTTCTCGGAGGCAAAACGTAAGTGCTTTCCAGGCTCTTGTACGTGTCTTCCCGTTGTCCAATCGAAAGCAGTGACAATAACCTAAAGAACGATGGTGGAAGGGCCAGAACGTGCAAGCGGCGGGCGGGTTCCTTGAACCGTCTGTGGTAAAGTCCCCTAAATTGCACGCCGTCTGACACCGGCCAGCTTTCCCCCGCTGCCTACATTCATTCATTCAGCAGCACTCGTCCAAGATGTTGAAGTGGTTCTAGCGCAGTCAGTGGCCGCACCGCGTTTCGTCGGGTCCCGACGACCCTACCTAGAGCTTAGAAATCCGTCTTAATGGTCCGTCCCGTCAGCTGTGCCAAACTCGACCTGCAACGGATGGATCGGTTCGTCCTGTCTGCTTTGCGGTGCCTTGCAGAATTATTCGCAGAAAGGAAAGCTGCGTGACTACGTACTTGCCATTTGCCAAGGCAGTGCTGGTCCCTCGATCGGATCTAGGCCGCTTCATGCATGAATCAGCGATCGAGCTGGCAGCTTTCATGTGGATAAATCCCCGTTGGACAGCTAATGAAAAATTGCTGCGAGGGACGGCTACTGGGACCTGCATCAACGCATAACGCCGGTTACCTCCTTCACACCAGCATTAACTACTAGCATCACTGTTGATCTGATCACGTCTACTTCGCACATGGCCGTTCAGTGTTTGCATGTATTCGTTTCCATAGCACTCATGGTCGGGGTATTGACGCCCGCGGGCAGAGCAGCGTAGGTAGAATGAGAGACATTCCATCCCACCTAAGGTTCCCTGGGCGGGCGAGACAGCAGACCAACTCGTCTCTAAACGCCGTCCAAACGGGCAATATCCATCCACCGTTGCCTGCTGCATGTGTCCAATCACCGGACACGCCGTCATCAAAAGCGAGCAACCCCTAAGCCCACGTAAAACTTTTGTATAACCCCCCATTCCGTTTTCTGATGTGCTGTTCGTTTCCATAACCGTAACCGTGCCACCTTGTGTGTTGGTGGCTGCAAGCAAGACGAGTTGAGGCGTGGCGAGGAATCGCTTAGTCCTCCTCCATCTTGGAGTCGTCGGCAGGCGCCTGGAAGTCATCGTCCTCCTCATCGTCCTCGTCGTCGGCAGGGTTCTCCTCGGCGGCCTTGGCGAAGTCGATGACACGGCCACGGGTGCGGCGACCACCCTCAACGATGTTGTTCAGGTCGATCTCGTCCATACCATCGTCCTCGTCAACTGTGAACCCAATCGTTAGTCGTGGTCGTGGGAAAAGTCTTGCGCTGTAGGCGACGCGGTAATCAGCTCTTACCAGGCTCAGCGGTCTGTTTTTTTTTTTAACGTTAGCTTGCGCGCAAACACTAAGGGGGAAGATTGGGAAGTAAGTACCTCGTTAGCCTCCTCCTCTTCGCTAGAATCATCATCCTCGTCCATGGCCTCGCTCTGCTCGACGGGCTCCTCGCTGGCGACGGCCTTGCCCTTGCCCTTGTTCTCGAGCTCGGTGGTAGGGTCGGTGACGGAGTTCTCGGCGGCCATTGTGTTTGTTTGAAAGTGTTAGAGAGGGAAGATTGTTTAGTAAAGCTTAGGCGACGAAAAGGCGATTGCCGTTGACCTAACGTAAGTATTGCGGTTGTGGAAAGAATCGGGTGGGATAGCGTGGGTGTAGATGGAAAGTGGAGGTGAAGCTGCGCCGGTCAAGGTAAGGTAGGCGGCGGATTTTATCAATTCGATCGTACCTTCCCCAGCAGGTCCCAGCTTTTAGCAGTGGTTTGCATGTCTCTTAGCAACGGCGCTAGTCCCGGGCAGGATTAGCGCCACAAAAGCCATACCACACGTGCCTTGTCAGTCCCTGTCAGAGCTGTCTGGAAGACGGAAGGCGATAGAAGGCTTGCGGTAGGCTGTCAACTGAAGGCTCCAGGCTGAGCGATCGATATGAGATGCGGCATCAGACAGGATTAAAGCTCTGTTTCTTGTTCAACCATTGGCAACTGGACTTGTAGACCTCCCCATATTTAGTGCACGCAAGTCTCTATAGCCTGGGCTCTGAGTCCAAGGTTCCCGATAAGAGTACACCGCTAGACTTAGGAAGAAGGATACCTTCTGCACCCGCCGATGCGTCAAGTCAGCCAGTTTTACAGTGACAGAAGGGGTTACGGATTCGAATCGGGTGAGAACACCGCCGGGACACCTAAGCACAGCTTCGCTTGAACAGATCTTGCGGTCTAATGCAGTATAAAACATCAATCAACGGGTATTCATCAATGCTGCCATCCTCTATATCGTCGTCTGTTTTCCATCGCCGCCGCCCGTGACCGTCATGAGGACAACGATCGCAATCAGCCACCAGTACCTGTGCCGACGTTAGCCTTAAGCTCAAGAACACCCGATTGTGATGAATGGTATACTTTTGGAAGAGGGTCTTCTCCTCTTGGACGACCTTCCTTCCCTCAGGACTCAGTACAACAGGCTTGTTCAGCTCCGGTGTCTTGCCCTGTCCCGTAACCCGAACAACAGCCTGCGGCCCGAAGTCCCTCGTCGCGCCCGCATCGATCCTGACGCCCTTCAAGCCCGCTCCAACCACGTTGCCCTCAGCGTCCACGCTCAGGAGGATGTTGGGCTGGTACCCCTTGGCAAAGTTCTCCGTCGAGGCCACCGACACGGAGGACGTCCATTGCTTCGTCGCGGTATCGTAGACGCCTATGCGCACGAGCTTCGCGCCGTCCTCGGGCAGCTCGGGAAACTCGAAAGACGATACGGTCGCCTCGGCGGGTTGCTTTGCGTCGTATTCGACCTCGGCGAGGAAGGAGGGCGACTTGCTCGCGGCGAGAGAGACTGGCTCGACGTAGATCTTGGCGAGGCGCGCCTCAGCTGCGGCGGCGAGGGTCGCCGCGAAGAGCGCCGACAGGAACGATGTCGCGCGCATGATTTTTCGGTTTCTCTGCACCCGTTCAGTCGTCGGATTCGGTGGCCTGGGTGATGGCGCTGATTGAAGGAGACGGGGGTTGTTGGAGGAGAGGTTCTGGGGGGCCCAGCTTCGGATGCGGGATTAGTCCGGCAGATTTACAGCTACCTAACGCAGCACAGAAATGAGCAGCACCTAGATGAACGACCGATGGCGGCATCGAATTTGTGGCCAAGACACGGGGAATATTTTAAGAAATACCACGGGAAAGCAGTCCCATGCCCAATCTAGAGAATTCGACACGCCGCAAGCATTCTCATATGAAATCAGAAAAGTGTGGTATTTCATTACCGCTATCACTCATTGAGCGTTAAAATGATACCGCCTGTCCAAACGCCACTTTGCCATGCCTCTAAGGGCAGCTGCCCACCCCTTTTTAAAGGAACAACCAAAGAAAACCACGCCTCATGTTGTAGATCAGAACCCCCGGCATCCGTAAGCAGCTTATGATGCCGCACCTGCTGCGTCAGGTGGCGGCGACTTCGCGGGGCTCTCATCATCGGGCGAGTCCCCACTGTCGTCACCGCCGCCATCTGAAATTTCGGTCGACCCATCCTCGTCGTCAACCTCGTCAGAGTCTTCATCCTCGACGACCGCATCCTCATCCTGCAGAGCATACCCGGGGCAGCGTTCAACTAGGCCCCGATAGTATGCGACGAGTACTTCGGGGTTAGGGACGATCTTCCAGTCTACCCTGTACAGAAACTCTAGTTCCAGCAGCTTGAGTTCGGCTACCCTAACGCCTCCCACTCGCGCATATGTAGTGTTGTTCCAGAACAAGTCCGATAAGCCCTTGGCCGCGACTGTGGCCGCCGTAATCAGGAAGCGATGTACAGTGAGCGTGTTGATGGTGAATTCTGGATATAAGGCACATAGTCGATCAATGTAGTAGACCATGGACAGCAGCAGCGGCGGTGTCAGTGTCGCGTGTTTCGCTAGTCTGTTCAGGTAGTCAAGTACAGAAATGCTCGGTGTCGTCCTGCGCAACATATCAGTAAGCATACATAGATATCAAAAGGATACGAAGCGCCTTTTTTTGCTTACCTCGAGTGGAACCGAGTCAGGCTGCCAGAGCGAAGAGCCAGGGCGTCATTGGTCTCGATGAGTTCAGATAGCATGTGTGATATCAAAACAACCATATCCTCGACACCGCACAGCTCATACCGCAGTGGCAGTACCTTGGCCGGCCCAGCTGTTGGCTTGGGGCGCTTAGCCGCGCTCGAAGATTCGCCGGCGCCGGATGCGCTCGCTTGCGCGATGGCGGGGTCTTGGGAGTTCCGTCGCTTGCCAGGTGAGGCAATGGTGACTGATGACTGCCGTACGGTAGGAGGCACGACAGTCTGCGTTTGCGTTGTCGGCTGAGGTTGGGGTCGCGGCAGAGGCGCGGAAGGGTCTATCGGTTGAGGACGCGGCGCTGGTGGGGGTTCGGCGGGCGTGGCGGGCACTGAGGTGCGCGGGGCATCGGCGACACCTTCTGTCGGGTGTGCCTGGGGCTGGTGATTCGGAGACTCCATGGGAGAGTATTGAGTGCCGGCATCGACAGCTACATATTGTCGTGGGCGTGGTTGGGAGGGTGAGGTCATTGAGGTGGACGGGGAGGATCTGGATGCAGAGTGCCGCCGCGGCAAAGGGGCCGAAAGCCGGGCAGGAGACGAGTGCGGGGAGGAGCGCGTAGGGGCATAATGAAAGCTGCTGGGCGACGCATTGGCGGAGCTGGCCACGATGGGAGATGTTGTCAACATGGTCTCGGGCGCATCGTGGGTCGAAGAAGCGGGCGGGCGAGGGTCGACAGCCGTAGTCGCCAGTCGATGGGTACTGAGGAGGCAGGCCGAGGGGGTGTGTTCGCCAGTGGTAGGAAGGTAAGGTAGGTAAGGTTAGGTTGATAGTTTAACGGGCTGGGTTGGATAGGTTTGGCTGGGGTCGGCTCAGATTTGCAGATTGTCAAAGCCAAGATCAGATTACCACACGTCGAAAAATCGGGACGAGGGGGGCATCGTTTGCCCACATGGAACTGGGATGGTTTAGTAAGTAGTCGACGCTTGGTATTCGCCGCCGCGGTAGGTAGTTTGGTGGTTCTTTGGGTTCCAGATCCAGGTTCCGCGGATGCACTGGATTGAATCGCGTGAATGGTTCAGACCATCAGAGGCAGCTAAGATCCCTTAGGTGTAGACGGCATTCGGCACCAGCAGTAACAGGCAAGGTACCAGCGCAACAGTAAGGCAAGGCCCCAAATGTCGGGAAACTGGACTGGTCGCCGTCAGTCAGTGGGATTGGCATGCCATGTGTGGAGGAGGAGGACGCGCGAATCTGATTTTCTGCGGTCTCGGCACCGGAGCCAAGACTTACATTGACGCCTCTGGTGCCAACCAGTCGTCTGTGGTGGGTTTGGTGGGGGGGATTTGACACCTGGACACGCAAAAACGTGCCAGTGGTGCTACTGGTATTCGCTGCCTTCCATTGGGTAGGTACCTTAGGTAGTACCTACTTATCTGCGCCATGCAGCATGGAAGAGGGGGGAAGGGGAAGGGGGAGGGGACAATTGAGGTAAAAGACACCTCTGAGGATTTTTTCTCTAATTTTTGAGGGCCGCTGATTGTACCATTTTTGCACTGAGGCCCTGATGGTGGGCCGCCCTTCTGGTTCTGGACACCGAGAGACGCCGCTAAAGTCGCTTTTAGGCCAGCGGTGCAACCCTTCTACAGCCTCCCGGCCAGGTGCTGACAAGGTTCTGGCTGCTTGCGATGCCTGGTCTGGAGCCGGAAGCGCCGTTTGGGAGGCTCAATCTTCTTTGCCCTTTTCTTCTCATCTTCCTCGAACAACAGAAGAAGTTGCCTAGGTAGTGTTCCGTAGGTACCTGGGGCACAACAACAAGATGCTAGGTAGTCAAGGTACCTTACTAATGCAATATCACTGCGCATTCTATTATACGTCCATCTGCATTGACATAAGGTTCCAAGGAAGAGAATCTCTTTGGATTAAACTTCTTCCTCTTCGTATCTGCCCTGTGGTAAGGTAGACCCGACTGAACGTATGGGAACCCTCACCGACACAACGTGCCGTCAGCTGCCGCTGCGATTTTTTCGCGCCCTCTCCTTATCATGTACACCCCTGCTGCTGATCTCCGATGCCCCAGCTTTGCTTGCCGCTGTCACGGAGTCCCTAGTCCCAAAATCACTGTAAAGTCGTCAGATGTCAGTTATCTTGCGTCAGATATCCCGGTGCTTTTGGCTGAGTACCGCGATGCGCCGCCTCGGGTGACACGATGGGACCCGAGTCAACTTTACCTACTCTCAATCTGCCTGACCTTAGTTAAGCGGCGGCCAACGCGTCTGCCCGCTCAAGTGAACGGCTTGTACGCAGTAGCATATTGCATACGCGCTATTCAGTGACGCAGAGGCTCGATATTTCTCTTTTCTCACGATGACGGAACCCTGACAACGTCCAGACCAGGTTGTCTCAATGAGACTAGGCACATAACATCCGATGCTGTGGAATGCCCCGCTCCAGCGCTGCTTCTCATGGTCTCGCACACCTAGAGGAATTGGCAACTCCGCTGTGTGGAAGTTAATTACTCGTTCCGTTCCGCGTGGGTTGAACAGTGCCTCGTAAAGGGCCACGCTTACCAGCGCGGCTCACAAACTATATTGGCCATCGACTTCTGCTCTCTGCACCAGGAAGACGCATCGCGGGAACCGTTGTATTGTGCGACTAAGTTTCCGCTGAGGGCTTGACAGCGAATCGCTCCTCACACTTTTCTCATCTGAACTGCGTGTCTGCTACTAGAACTTAAATAACCTCTCTACACTATATTTGCTCATTAGATCGAGGCTGATTAACTACTGAGAGAAGAGAGAACCAAAAACAGGCAAAAAGGAGCAAAAGTTCTCAAGATAATAGCTGTTAAACACACAAAAAGAAACGCGCTCTCCTCATGTGGGACTCGAACCCACAACCTTCCGATTTCACCGACCGAGAACCAGCCGTAAAAGTCGGACGCGCTAAACCGATTGCGCCAATGAGGACGACGGAACACGACTCCATCACGTGATGCCCTTCGAGTGTTTTTGCTCCGTCATATTGGCCTACTCACTCCGGGTAAGCTAACTGGGGACGTGCCAGTAAACTTTAATTCGTCTCCTTCCGGAAACATTCTCTGTGTGAATCATAACAGTGGATAGACACTTCAAGAGTGAGACAGATTGGGAACTGCATCAACATCTAATAAAAGTCGTGGTTCAATGCAGCTTGCGAGAGGGTGCATATTGTCAAGATGAAATCCCCATAAGCTTCCAACCTCCAGCAAGTTCGTTCTGAGAATCATGCTCCATTAGCACCGATCCGGCATGAGTCGAAAGGTGGTGGCAGGAATCGTTGCATTGACGATGGACCGGTGTTAACCAACGCTGCCACGCTGCCCCAAGCTTCAGCTAGCATGTGAGGATTCTGAAAACGGTTGGTTGCGATGTGCAGTGCACGTGCCTTGGCCATCCCCGGTGCCGCCAACTGGCACTGGTACCCAGTCAGTCTCCCAGCCTACCGATACCTATCGGCCTTGACGTGATTAATCGTGGTCCATCTTGCGGGCGACTTCCCGGCTCATCTGCATCTTGAGTAACCACTGCCAACGACTCTCTCACGACATCCCTCCCCTCCGTTCGAGGACATCATCGATTATTGCATTTCTAGGCGCTCTGAGAAAACGCTTGGCAACGCTGTGCGAAGCTCAAACCGCTTCTGCTTGACACTCGACCATTTGCATGGACCTTGGCCTCTGACGCAAGCTCCGTCGCCGCCGCACCACTTCGTCCTTGCAAGCACACGACGTGCTGGTTGAAGTTGACAGCAGAGAGCCGAGGTCCTTTCCCCACATCATCACCAAATTCTTCCATCATGGCCCGGTCCTCGAGTCCTCCGATTCTTTCCCAGATCCTCAGCGCGAGGAGCTATATCGAACAGACAAGTGCGCTGCGGGCCCTCAAGAATGACATTGTTGGCCATGCGCAAAAGAAGGAGCAGTGGGCTCGGCGCGGCGTGCTGGAACGCATCGTCAAGATACTCAATGCTGCCCGGTCACCAGCCAAGGTGAATGGCAAGGACGGTGCCCCCCATGGCAGCCCGCGATCGATAAGTGAGGAGGAGACCGTAAGGTTCCAGGCTCTCCAGCTTCTGGCAAGCTTCGCCAATGGTGCGTTTCCATCCTGACACGATCTTCTTCTAATCGCATGCTAACTTGAATGTTTTCAGGAGGAACTGCGTTTGTCGAGCCAATCCTGGCTGCCGGTGCCCTACCTGCTTTGCTAGCGAACGTCTGCCCGATTTCGAATGCTCCCTTGCTCGTTACCACGGCCCTCCGCGCGCTGCTCAATATCGTCGAGTCTTCTGCACTTGCAACGCCCGACTCACCAGTGGATACACAGGCCTTGGCCGAGGCCGTCTTTGCGCCCGAACACATCGAGTCTTTGAATGCGATATTGTCAAGCGCATCTAACACCGCGGCACAACAGACCCAGATCGCGTTGGTAGCGAACATAATCAGTAAACTTTGTCGAGAGGAGAGGCATCAGCTTGCCCTGGCGAATTCTGATGTTCTCGACTCACTCGCAACAAGACTGGCGAGTATCGCTATTGGCCAAGGGCATGTTATTCCATACGCTGAAGTATTCGGGCGAGTGGATCACACGTCTGATTTCTTCCCCGAACCGGAACCTTCGACTTCCAACTTGGTACCTATCTTGGAGGCTTTAGCTACCATCATTTCGGACTCACGCTTCAGGGCTTGTATGCTTTTGTGCTCTCCGGCCATTATGGCTATTTTCCCGTCTCTGAAGTTCACACCGTCCAAGGAGATTCGAGCTCCTTGGAACTCGCTCGAAATCAGCGGCCTGGGGTATGCGCGCCAGCAAAGTCTTAGTGCTATGGATTATCTCCTTCCTGCTATTCCAATACACCAGGGGCGACTCTCTGGCTCTCAGCAGTCACATTTTCCCTCTCTGGGTGTTTCCGATGCCCGAGAGCGCGCCCGCTCTGCGGCGAGCAAGTACAGTTCAACTGCGTCAGTTTGGGAGGCTTCACGGTTTGAGCTATTTGGCAACGAAGGCGAACCCGAGGAGGACCAGGAGACTCCACTCATCCCATGGCTCATTCTCTTGGTCAGGACACGTCAGAACGTGGAACGATTGATGGCCGCCAACCTTCTGACAACGCTCTTCAGATCCGGTTTTGGCAGCAAGCATCTAAGAGAAACCAGTCTTGGCCTCCTCGTGGTCCCTGTGCTTATGGACATGCTAGATCAACTTCAGGCATCGCCACCAGTGGTTAAGTCTCCTTTGGTTGACGCGGACACGGCTATGAAATGGACGGTCCTGGAGCGGACACCGGCGATACTGGCTCGCATGATCACGGATAGCGAACACCTCCAGAAAGCGGCCTATGATTGCGGCGCTGTCAAGTCCTTTAGCAAGCTTCTGAAAGATGCGTATGAGCCGATTCCACCGTCAGCGTACGCTAAGTTATG